TGTATTTCGGTGAAACTCGCTGTGAATTTGTTCTTATGTAAGACTCATATTTTGATTAAACCATCACCGAGTTCAGCCGTTTTGAACAAGTGGTGAATTCTTGAGTGTCGTGGTGCAAAAGCTACCAGAACTTTTTATCTGGTGGATGAAATTAACTCATTGTTTTTGGTTAATACACTAATCATTTATTCACGATTTTGTGCTCTTTGTAAAATCTTGTAGCATTTATAGTTTTTGCGAAAAAAAATATTTCTGTTTTCTTGTCATTTAACAATGTTAGACATTAACTGAATTTCGCTAAAATACATCGTGTCATTCTCCCGAAATTTCAAAAAAGATAATTATTTTGAAGAACTTTGACCCTCAATAGCAGAGGAGCCAGACATTTTTTGTTAACAAATTGATTGATTGAGATTGATAATGCAAAGAAAATCGCAGTATCCTTTTGATCGTGTGCTTACGGGACACCCTGTACTGTACAGTTGTCCAGGTTGCTGATAATATTTCTATTTCACGCTCCAAAACGGTGAAATTTCGCTGGTGTAAAATTAGTTCTATTAGAAAATTTGCAAAATTGCATTTAAAAGTCGGCTTCCAGGCAAATCGACGAGATTTGAAGTGAATTGAAAACAAACATTTTCAATCAATTTACTCTTTGAAATTAGTTGAAGAACAATTACTTTTACTCTTTAACAGGATGAAGCTGACACTTAAATATTAAAGAATCGAGTAAATAAATTAACGTAAAGGGAGTAAACAGAGATTAACTAAATTGTATTCTTGGAATGGAACAAACTGATGCGGTTTGGGAACAGCTAGTTTGACTGTTCCGAAGAATACCACTTACATCATCAGCATAACGTTTTCAGCTGCCTTGATTTTCCATAACATATTCCATCTTTTCCCACTTAGTTACCACCTATGAAGAAGCTGCGAGCTTATTATTTCTAATGATGGTGCTTTTGTTGTATCATAAGGCTTCCGCCCGAAAGAAAAATCGTCCGACTTATTGACGCACATTGTTGGTAGGTAGTTATCTCGTATTAATTGTTTACCACCCGATGCGTCAGGATGGACTGCTTGTTTTCAAGCTTTTTAATCATGTTGAACTTTTAACTAGCTTTTGACCAAAGAACCAAACAGCACCATTCAATGCATTGATCTCTAATTAGCTTATCTGGATTCACAATTTTTTTGTTAGCAAGTTGTAATTATGCAATATACAGAGTTATCCTAAAATATATTTATGAGGACGATTTAGTCAAACTAACTCACTGAAAAGGGGAAAGTATTAACGSTCAGACGTTTGTGCCTTTGTMAAATCAACTTCCGAGTATTTTAGCAAACTTKTTGTTTAGATAGAACAAAAACAGTCTCCGTCTTCAGGTWTAAAATATTGATAAATAATAGACTGGACAAGTCAATTAACATAAAAATAAACAAATATAAAAAGTAACAAACCCAGAAGTGTTTTTAAATGTAGTYCTACATATAGCAAAAAGAATTGACATTTTAAAATAAAAGATTAATTAGTTCTGACTTTTAGTTAGGAACCCAACTTGACCTTAATAATATCAACGCTATTTCTTTGCTAAAATGTTTGTTTCTTTTAGCATTTATCCATTGTTTTAATTGAACTGCTCTGGCTGACCTTTAATATACATTTTCCTTCAAAAAGAATTTAAAGTTTGCAAAAGCTTGGTGAAAAATTTAGTTTTTCTGAGGTGCATAAAATGCCAATAGTTTGGTAAAGATTGTAATTCCAGTTTACTGACTAAAACACCTTGATACTATCCGGCACCAAAGGTTTTAAGATAAATAGTTTTGGCCACTATTTGTAAACGCTTGTAAATCGAGTTTCAGGGAGAATTGGTTTTTTTCTGCAAATTTCTGAAATTGTTAAAAATAGCAAATAAATTGATCATTTTTGTTATTCTCTGTTCAAATGGTTTTCTTGAGTCTTATCGTCACTAGCTGACTGTCTTCGRCAAATTATTTATCTTGCATCGTTTTTTTCATCTTGCAGCGTTCATCATTCTTGCAATTTTGCATTATGGAGTRTTCAGGGAAGGCAAAAAAATATGAAACGTGTTTCTCTTAGTTTGCTCAATTCTTATATCAAATGTCGACCGTTACTCGATATTGATTMCTTTCAAAAACTTTACAAARCACGCAAGAGATAGAAAAGACTGAATAAGCTMAATCGGGCAAKCTAGATGGAGCCTGCATTTTAATAAAGWAAATACATGCGAATATGGAAAAAGYATTTTGTCGTAAAAGTAAACAGTTTTTTAAAWTAACGACCCTTTTAAATCGGGGTTTGTCCTAACATGGTGTATRGAATTACATCTTCCTTTGATAGCAACAAAACCTTTTAWAACTTCTTCTTCTACKCAAGTGTAAACATCACACATCAAATAAGTACAATTAATTCAAAATGTTTTTCTATAATCGAATAACTCAAATTATATAGTTTGATTGTTTCCRTCAGTCTGGTCTAAAACCATTTAGCAATTAATCTGCAGAAGTGAMACTGGCAAATCAGCTTCAAAGTGCTGGTTAGTGAACACATTTGAACATAKATTCAAGTCAAGAAGTCATTGAGAATCGGTCAACTTKTCAAGAAAACTTTCAGTTAACTTAGAAGTTGAACATGAAATAGGCTTGAGATAGAYMWGGCTGATGCTCTAAAACTCAGGGTATTTATAAGTTTAKATTTGAGTCAATTCGATTGAACATGTAAAAGCTTAAGCAATTTGATTCAACACATCAATTCCTTCCATAATAAGCCGCTTCCAGCAAAAAAATTTWAATTTTGCAATATTAATTACGTATAAGGTATCGGCTAATGCTATTTTTATAGATAAATTGTGTGTCTGGTAAAACTTTTGCAACAGACAAAAAAGTGTCTAAATAAAGTCAGCTATCATTAAACCCGTTGCTACAGTTGTTAACGCTGTTATTTACAAACCGCGCATCATTTTAATTGACATTAAATTTAGGAACATTTGCCTATTGGCGACCTAGTTCTGGTTCAGCGTTACGCTGTTACGGAGCACCCTGTATATAGCTACTATTCCACATTTGTTTGTGCAATTTGCCGCCCAAGAAACACGATCAAAGATCGTTTGAATTTCGTTTGATGTTTGAATCGGACTGCTCAACAACAAATTGTCTACATAGACAAGTTAGAAGAAGGAAAAGCATTTCATAGCTTCGATTGAATTACTGTCCTTACTTTAAAATTTTCATCTGCAATCTCAAAAATCTCCAAACTATAAAAAGGAGAAGCGAACAACCACTTACGCGATATGGCAAATAATTCCGAGAGCTGCATGAAGATGGACGGTTTACAAAAAAATGTGAACTTGGTCTCTGGCCAAAAAGAAGACATCCAATCGGCGAGCCCGTTCATAATAATCGTCATTATCGCAAATATATGTACACACATTATAGGTCGTGACCATCGCTGCCCACCGTGTAATGAGGGGGCCCGCCTGCCTGCTTATGGCACCCAAGATCTGGATCTTTTTCGAATCTTTCCCCCTTGTTATGCTGGATCGTGCACGCTCTTGCTGGCTTGCTTCCTCGAAAATTTTATTGCCGATATAATCGCTGAATAATTGCCCAGAGTGTTCAAAAAAACCTTATGAGAATATTGCCTCCACCATGTTTCATCTTGTCTAATCACAAGGTGCCGGGATTACAGGTTTATTTACACACATCGTTAGTCACAGGGACGCCTCTATTAGAATTGTTCGTCGATGTGAACATGGTTTGTGAGCATTTGAAGAATATAAGATGCAAGCAGTACATTTAACTAAAAGCTGGCCCAAAAAGGAGTTTTCAACTTTAGTAAATTTATTTTTCCAATGCGCAAATTTCTTGGAAAATGTATGGGGACATTGCCTAAACGTTTGCCCATGTCTGAAATCTGTCACAACGGACGATTTTTGTCACATATTGTATTTTGGTCATTTCAAATATTTTACAAGCGCCCCGTAAAAAAGTCACAGTGATTCAAATCCGGGCTTCATGAGGGCCACTGAATCTTTCTCTTTGACACATTAAGTACTCCGTCAATTTTTTGGCTTGAACATTGGTAACATTATTGCGACGCCAAATAAACGCTTCTCCCCGTGTAACTTTACATGGTGGCTGAATGTGCCCAAACCAAACTATAGTTTAACACCGATCTCATTTTGTTCCGAAACTTATAGAGTTTTCCTCAGACAAATTCTCAAATAAGTTGATTCTCTTATTACCATGTTTATTCTACTCCTCGCATGCTCCCAGACAACAATTTCAGAGGAATGCCGCCAATTTTCACAAGAACAATTTTGTAGCACCCCGTACAGGATGAGATAAGAAGTAACATACATAAATGTAAGATAAACAATAGACGCAGGGTGGCCCATAGAGTAAGTAAAAGGGAAAATAATAACTTAATTTACTTACTCTATGGGGTGGCCCACTTCAATCGAGACTTTATTTCACGCAAATTTTTAGATTAGACAAACTATGTTTTCACCCCAGGAATCTGTGGTAAGATTTTGTACAGACATTTTACATACACAATGTTTACTTTAATTGATTAAATTTTATTCTTGTTAAGTAATACAAGGGTCCTTTAATATTGTCAAAAATTATGCAGTGTAAATCTACTGAAGCACACAACTTTTTTAACTTTGTCCTACCGTTTCACATTTTGCCACATTGTATCGATAATAGTTGACATTTTCCATTATGCCTTTTTGAAAGTCACGTTAATTTTTTCCATAATTTATTGTTGTATTCATATATAGGGTGTCCCATTTTGAAAACAATGTTTGAGATGTAACTTTTTATTGGAGCACCCTGTATAGCTGCAGCTAATTTTAAAATGTGCTCCTGTAAAAATTCTAAATATTAGCAAAAGTTGGATTAAAAATACCTATTCGCTTGCTCTGGAATTCAAGTCTCAAATAAGGTGGTCCCCCTGTACAATGAAATACAAAATGTTTGGTCATGAAGAATGAAAGTATAGTCAAAAAACACAAAAAGTCGGATACACGAATGTAATGTGAAGAATTTAAGAATAAAAACTCTCGAAGATGTTACCTGCATAACAAGCTCAACGCTCAAAATTTTACTCTCACACACCTACAAGGGTAGAAATGCAGTACTAACATGGGAAAATCTCTCGAAATTAACCCAACATTTTCAAAATACTCTACACAGCAGCATCCTTTATGTACGACGTTTGAAACATGTAAGCAGCAATAACTTTGGTTCCTTCGTAATAATTCCGACTGGAGATGTTTTCGTTGGCCTCACCAGGATTTGAACCACGACAGGCCAAAGGCAACATTACAATGTTCTTTTCGAGCACCCGATCTAGAACAGTCACCGCTTTTCTAGCTCTAGACTCTCTGATCATATTCGGATCTTCTTTATAAATCTGAAAGGGCATGCCAATCAATGACTATTCAAGGGCCGTAAGAAGAGCAAGCAACCCAACTGGAAAGTGTTTGTAGAAGAGCAGTAAATAAGAATGTCATTAGACGAATAGGTCGAGAAGATGCGACAGAGTTTACGAAGAAGAAGCTCAAAGGTAATAAATCACAGGCGCTAATGTATCCAGATAAAGCTGCAAAAGGGCAAACTCACCTGAATCACAGCTCTTCGAGCTGCATTGTAGCACGGCAGCCTGAAGTTCTCAAACCATGGTCTTTTGGAGTCGAGCGTCTCACAAGTAACTGTGTTTTTAATGTTGTTCTCTTTCACCACACTTTTAACATGAGCCTTTACGAGCTTTTCCACTTTGTCCACGACCTGCCTAGGCACTAGTTTGAGGGTTACGACTTTTTTGATCTTGGAAAAGTCCTTTTTATCACACACGCATTCGAGGTTTTCGTGAACGTGGATGCTGGGCAGCCGCCAGAAGCTCATCAACAGTTTCACTTGATCCCAGGGCTTTTTAAAATCAGGCAAGGAATCTCTGATTTCATCCGCATCGAAGTCCTTGATGTTTTCGTAGACTTTCTCCTCATCGGGAGTGATCTGCTCCACGTACTCTCCAAAGTGTTTAATTAGAATCTGTTCTTTGTCGTCCACCAAGGAATTTACAATTGCTTTCATGTCTTCCTTAATATCAACTTTAGAGTCCTCAGATTGAGTAATGGCAATTTCAAAATGAATCATGCCTGGAAAGAAGCAAAACCCAACACAATACAATAAACAAAACCACAACGTTTGCTGAAGTACTTACCCACACATCCATAGATCAAGCAGGGATGCTTGCCGCCAATCCACTCAGACTCACATAAAATCACGTTGTAAATACCAGCAAAAAAGTCTTGCACTCTGGTGGGCAGGAAAGCAGACAGCCCTAAGCTGTTTTCATGGTTCATAAACTCAATAATGAACTTGACGTTGACTGGCAAGGGCATGTCTGACTTCTGGAAAGCCTGGATCACGTGAAACCACATCATCAGTGGACCTGGAGTGAAAAGTACTGTTAGAGATCGAAGTCCCCAAAATTTTCAAATGGAGTGGATTATACACAAGCACTTGCCTTTTCCACAAGCGGTCCCATTTCCGAAGAACACGTTGTTCTTATTGGTCAAGGTCCAAGGATTTGTGGTCCAATCGGCCAAGTCCGGTTCAGGGACGTCCAGATGCAAATAGACACAGACCTAGGGAGAGGATCAGTTTGAAATCGAATTAGATTGGAGTTCCTTCCACTATGTTTTGATTCCAAGTTGAATGGAAAAGGGAAGAAAAGGTACAACACTTTTATAATAATCCGCAGAATTGCTGGTCTTGGGAATAAGTGAAGCCTGGGCGACTGTAAGTAAAAGCTGTAGGTTCGAATAAGCTAGTTTTTACTAACACTCGATTCAACTCACTGTTTTCTTGTCGATGCAATTTCCCAGAGAGGCCAGAATGACTGAAGGGATCGGAACTTTCTTCCCATCCAGCAAGTAATGGCCGATATTGAAGCATTCGTATTTCATCTGCAGCTTCTTAAGCCATTCTTCCGTAAAGCTGATCATGCGATCTACATCATCCCTGTATTGCAGTTTACCGGAAACTGACTTGAATTTTACAATTTCCGCCAAATCGTCCAAGAATTGAAGCCGATTGGAGTCGACATATTGAAGAATTAGCAATAGATCGGGCTCGATATTGATTTTTTTACTCGTTTTGGCCGCATAATATTCACCATATACTGCGTTGGTTGTTATGGTCTCACTATGTTCAGTTCTATATGTATGAGGGTATACCATATCTTGCTCAGCTAGCGTTGGTGAAGAAACGGGAAATTCACCAAATAATCCGCGTAGAAATAGGAGAAAATGAAGAGATATGTCACCAAAATCAGTTCGATTGACATTGAACACTTTGGCGATCAACGGGAAACTGAGATTTTTACCTGGTTCCTAAGCAGCCGAACAAATGCAAAAAAGTCAAAACAGTGTTTTTGATTTTTGGAAATGAAAAAAAGTATTTGAGAAATCTCTTTTCAAATACAAAAGCTTTGAATAATAATCCATTTAAATCAATCTGAGCTAATTGCTTGAAATGTTTATTTCAGGTAGACATTTTACGCAATTTTCAAGTTTTTCAATACTAAAAGTTTGACCAACTTCCGTTCTTGACAAAATCGTGACTTGCGCTGTTAAATGTAATAAAATGAAGTGTCAAGGAACATTAATTAATTATTATTAACAAAGGATTAATAAGGGGATTTAACTGCGGGATAATATTTATTTGTTGCTCCTCAAATTAATATGCTTATGAGCTATGAGCTATAAATAACACGTTAATTAATCAGGTGAGCCTTAATTAAGTTTTGTTTCAGTATAATTTTATATAATAATTAATTACAAAGGCCAGTGGGCTTAATTTAATTTAAGCTTCTGAAATTGATAGAATAAACTTGACCTCAAGCGTAAGTTAAACATCAACTTTCGTTAAAAAGACGCAAAAATAATTGATAACCTGTATAAACAATACAATAAACTTAATAATTTTCTTTATTTTATATATTATTTAAACAATTAAATTGTTTCCGATTTAAGCGCTGATGCCAAACTGTCACCGCCCGATGTCAATCATCCCCTCACACACATTGTCAAAACCGAACCAAAACAAAAATATACCATAATGATTTTTTTGAATTATTCAAAAAATGTGCAATATCAGCATTAAAAAGGGGGCCTGATAGTTTGGGGGTTGTTTTGGTGTACAACAAATAAAGTGGTTCGGGATGGCCCAGTTATTCACGCAAGAAATTTTCGAATTAAAACCCCTGGTTAAATCAATCGATTTAAAACTGTGCACAGAAAACAGAAATGGGGTGAAGCACATTTTAGCATTAATTACCTGGTTAGTAGAATTATATTTTATTGTCCCTATACTCCTAAAGTTCATTAGATAAGCTGAGAGTTTTGTCTGAGCGCGCACTGATGTTGGAAGAAACTAACTCCTGCAGTTTCCACATGCTTAACAGAGGGTGGAAACTGTTCTGTATTGAAAAGAAGTTGTTTAAATTATTTCAGATTTTAGTATTGAAAAAATAGTCCCCCAGAAAGCATAAAATTTGTATCTGGACATCTTATTAGAATTCCTAGTACCCAATATTTAGTGGTAAGAAATACTCCCCTATTAAACCTGTGGTTTTCGTAGTCAGCGCTGAAAAAGATTTAATGCGCTGAATACAATGATTGAAAGTTTGTTAACATTCTTCCATAGATCTTGGTTTAATTACTTACTTTTTTACAATCTGCGGATCTGCTCATGAAATTTTGCTAAGCTATTTTTCTTTTTCTTTCAGTGATAACGAAATAGTGCTGTACTACTCCTATGGGGATTTATCACCAGTAGTGAAAATAATTCCTTGGTTTTCTGATAGTAGCAAAAGCATACAAGCAACTTGTTTGGATCCAACAGCCACTTGGTTATTGATCACTTGTAAGTATGATCACTTGTAAGTGTATCACTATGGGTGTAATTTTCTGTGATAAATTGCCGCGGTAATCACGTCGATATAGGTGAATTCTACGTGCATTACCACGTCTTTGTCACATGTGATACCCCTTTTTTTGTTGATTGGGAAGTATAAAAAAACTTTTAATTTCAATGTTTTACTCGACTCATCAACAAAAAATTATCGAGAATGCAGGTAACAAGTTAACAACTAGGATTGAGTGTAGATAACATTGCTATTGAGCTACTAAATGGCGAAGGATCAAGATATTCGCAGCAGTTGAACAGCAACTTTGGGGATATAACAAAGGCATAAATATATCTCAAGTGATGATCGATTCCCATCTAATCTCATCTCATCTCTGTAGCTCTTCAACCCAGGGTGTGTCTTGGCTGACTACAATCTGTGTATATGTACAATCTATCGCGATCCATCCAGGGGCGGATCCAGCTTTAAAGTCGGTGGGGGGGGGGCGTGTGTATGTAGAGATTAGAAAAATTATCGTCGTTTTGTGCAAGGGTGGCGTAAGATTATTGCAAAATTTCATGTTTTCCGTCCCGTTTTGCATGTTTCTCGGAAGCAA